AAAGAGTGTGTGCAGAGACGGATGGAAAATTCCACTGTAGCACAGGATCCCTTATGAAGAGTTTCATTTTTATAACTACCATATTAATTTGAGCTGCTGGCAGTTACCTGAAAGGTTTATTACTCACTTTGTCATATTAGCTAGTAAAGCATCCAAATCTAAGACAAAAGAAGCATGTCTATAAAATTTTATAGGGAGAAATGTAGTGTTAGCAGAAAAAAAAAATTAGGAAGTTCACTCTGATTAACAAAACACTGCCGTAGCTAAAGGGACCCCCGGGTGAAATAGACAGAGTATTAAATGTAACCAAACAGTCTCATTAGAAATCACCCAAATCTCCACTCCTTACATCATCCTTCGCGTGGGCGCAGCAGCTTCCAAGAGGGCTTGCCACCACTCTGCCAGAACTCTCAGCAGCACAGAGCACCTCTGGCAAGTGTGATGAAGCAGTGACTGTCACATTCAAGGCTTGAAGGTGGCAAAGAGGGATGGGCAGTAAAGGGTAATACTTCATTGCTGCAAAAACTCTCTTAGTTAACTATGATTTGATTTCCCTTTTGTTTCTGTTTATGGCAGAGCCTGCATCTTGGCAAGGCACGCAATCTTACCCCAGCTGTGCAAAACAAAACTTGTCCAAAGTGTATGTCAGATAACGTAAAAATGGGAAGGTGGAAAAAACGACAGCACAGATATGTAGTGATTTGAGTGCTGCATGAAAATACATCCAAAGGCAAGATGGTTTGGGGATTTTAGAGAGCTCTGGGTATCGCCTCCGATACAGTCACAACATTGTAGACATCACCTGCAAATGATCTGTGATCCACAAACATTGAGCACCCTACTTTGTGCCAAATACTATGCCAGGAAGTTGATCTAATTAGACAAATAAAACACAGTCATTGCATGTTATTGAATTGGACTTGTTCTGTGCATGGATCTTCTAGGACTGGATGCATCAAGGTGTTAGCCAATGTTAAACGGCCCAGAGGAATTTGAGGGTTTCCTTTCTCAGTAGCTGGCTTGGTTTTAGGCAGTGGTCTATTAGAAAAAGTGTTAAATATTTTTACCAATTCAGGCTACAGCTTGGGGGACCTGAAATTAGTCTTTTAATAATTTTCTTCTATGTTCAATGGGAATTGTAATCTTTCTCTATTAGATAACTTATAAAAATATTTAGTTAATTTACAAAAATATTTTCAAAACAAAATATAAACTTTTCTCAGCTTCTTGGGAGAAAGGCCATATTTAAATTTAAGCTAATGTGTCCAATCTATGTTATTCAGGAAGTACTTATGACTCCTGTTTCCCCTTGACTAGCTCGATTCCAACGTTCATTTGGCCGTTGTTCTACTACTTAGAGAAGATTGCCTGAAAACCAGGAGAGAAAAAATCCAATCTAGATTAATAGAATATTGCTTTTTAGCAGCTTTGAGTTAGACGTTAAAAATGAATAGTGAAGCTAAGGTTTTTGTTGGTTTTTTTTAGTGATCTGTCCAATTTAATTTGTGCCATTCTCTTAATAACGTGAGTTAAAGTTGACTAACATTTTGTAACTCATTTCAGATGTAGAGATTAATTTTATCTACATGGAACCATCTAGTTAATTCCCCAGAGGCAGATGTTTTGTGTCAAGTGCATCTTTTTTGTTTATGGGAGTGATTGCAAACTGATGGCCTCCTCCAAATTTTACCAGCCAAAAAGTTTTGTTAGGCCTACATAGGATTTTTGTTTTTGAACCAACATTTTTTTTTTTAACACAAGTCTATTTATTTATTTATTTTTGGCTGTGTTGGGTCTTTCTGTGCGAGGGCTTTCTCTAGTTGTGGCAAGCGGGGGCCACTGTTCATCGCGGTGCGCGGGCCTCTCACTATCGCAGCCTCTCTTGTTGCGGAGCACAGGCTCCGGACGCGCAGGCTCAGCAGTTGCGGGTCACAGGCCTACTTGCTCCGCGGCATGTGGGATCTTCCCAGACCAGGGCTCAAACCCGTGTCCGCTGCGTTAGCAGGCAGATTCTCAACCACTGCTCCACTGGGGAAGCCCCCTGAACCAACATTTAAAAGTTGGGAGATTTCGCATAAAGGCCGGATTTCTCAGCTAATCAAGTATTTTAACATCTGGCAACACCAAGCCCACTATCCTCTTCTGGCAGCAATGGATTGGAACTGAGTATCAGTTGCCCCCATTAGGTGGCCCTTTAATTTTCCCTAGTTCTCACCAGGCCATTTTGCTCCCTCACAGTGGCTTGGTTCTGTAGGTAGTTGAGTTTGAAACTGTTGATTAAAAGCAGTCGTTTCTGTGTGTGCATGTGTGTGTGTGTGTATTAGAAGGAATTGATTACAATCAAGTACAGTATTACAATCCTGAGTATATTTATTACACCCCAAATAAAACCCCCCAAGGAGCAGGAATACCACATTTGAGCCCCCTTCCTTGGATCCATCTTTACAGATTTTTAATGGCTCACTTTCCTTCATTTGGTTATGTTGGCTTCAACTTCAAAATAAAAATCACATTATTACAGAATCTTAGAATCAAAAATTAGATTAGAAACCATCTATGCCAATTTTTTTTTTTTTTTTTTTTTTACTAAGAGGCAGCTAAGGCCCAGCAATAAGTGACCCACCAAAATAAGTGGTTGCAAAGTCAACACCTTCTGACTGATGTTCAATCCTCTGTTATTTCTAGTAAACCATCAGAATGTCACCATTGGAAATGCAGACACATGAAAGCTCAGAAATTTTACTCAGCATCGTGGATCTAGCTTATAAAATAACAAAACAGATCAGCCTGATAGGAACTATGAACAAAAAGCCCTTAAAATAGACTAAATTAACAATGAACCATTTGCTCTTTCTAAAAGAAAGTAACTCGGACTTCCCTGGTGGTGCAGTGGTTAAGAATCTGCCCGCCAATGCAGGGGACACAGGTTTGAGCACTGGTCCAGGAAGATCCCACATGCCACGGAGCAACTAAGCCCGTGAGCCACAACTACCGAGCCTGCACTCTAGAGCCCATGAGCCAGAACTACTGAGCCTGTGTGCCCTAGAGCCCACACGCCACAACTACTGAGCCCACGTGCTGCAACTACTGAAGCCCACACACCTAGAGCTCATGCTCTGCAACAAGAGAAGCCACGGCAATGAGAATCCCATGCACCGCAACGAAGAGTAAGCCCCCGCTCGCCACAACTAGAGAAAGCCCGCGCACAGCAACGAAGACCCAATGCAGGCAAAATAAATAAATATTTTTTTAAAAAATAAATGAAAGAAAAGAAAAGAAAGTAACTCAAGATGGCTTTGTGGATGTTACATTGGTTTGCTAGGGAAGCTACAACAAAGGACCACTAAATAGCTTAAACAATAGAAATGTAATGTCCCACAGTTCTGGAGGCCTGAAGTTCAAAATCGGGGGATTGGCAGGGTTGGTTGCTTCTGAGGACTGTGAGGGAGGGACCTGTCCCAGGCCTCTCTCCTTGGTTTGTAGATGACCGTCTTCATGTTTACATGGCAGTCTCCCTTATTTGTGAGGCTACTTCCAAATTTCCCCTTTTTGTAAAGACATCAGCCATATTTATTTTTATTTTTTTATTTTTTTTGCGGTACGTGGGCCTCTCACTGTTGTGGCCTCTCCCGTTGCGGAGCACAGGCTCCATTCGTGCAGGCTCAGCAGCCATGGCTCACGGGCCCAGCCACTCCACGGCATGTGGGATCCTCCCGGACCAGGGCACGAACCCGTGTCCCCTGTGTCGGCAGGAGGACTCCCAGCCACTGCGCCACCAGGGAAGCCCCCATCAGCCATATTCGATTAGGGCTCACCCTAATTTTAACTTGGAAAAGACCCTATCCCCAAATACAATCACATTCTGAGGTAAGAGGGGTTATGCCTGAAGAGACACAATTCAGCCCATAACATTCTACCTCTGCCCCCTAAAATTCATGTCCTTCATTCATGCAAAGTACATTCCCAACAACCCCCAAAGTATTTCCAGCATCAACTTTTATGTCCAAAATCTCATCTTAAATATCATCTAAATCAGGTATGGGTAAGACCGGGGGTATGATTCATCCTGAAGCAAAATTGCTCTCCAGTTGTGAACCTGTGAAACCAGACAGAAATTTATCTACTTCCAAAACACGGTGGTGGAACAGGCATAGAACATACATTCCCCTTTCCAAAAAAAAAGAATCATAGGGAGAAAAGGGTCACAGTTCTCAACCAAGTTTGAAAGCCAGCAGGACAAATTCCATTCAAGTTTAAGGCTTGAGAATAATCCTCTTTGGCTGAATGCCATACCCTCAGGTCTCATCAGGAAGAGGGGTGTGGCCCTGCACTCTTGGTGCTGGGTGGCCGCCCACGGGGGGCCAGGAAGCAGCCAGCCACTGAGCCACCTTCAGATTCATTCTTCCTTTATTTCAACCTGTCTCTGTCTCTTTCAGTCCAGGCTAGCAGTGTTTCTGCTGGTACAGAATTTTCCCATGTAATTCGTGGGGTTCCAAGTCATCAGATGAGAGGTCTCCCACAGTTCCTTCCTGGCTTCTACTGAGACGGTTCCTTGGACCCATGAGTCACATGTCTCAACTCTTTAGCAACACCCTTGGCCTTCTCTCACATTCTGAGGTCCTGGGCATCAGGACTTCAACGCATGAATTTGAGGGAGACACAGTTCAGCCTATAATTGCTGAAATATTCTGTGCTTAAGCTAAAAATTTATTCTAATTCCAGTGTGTCTGACTGGGGTGACCAGTCTTATTAAAGTCAAATTTTAGACGAGGAGAAATGCAAGTGTCCAAAAGTGAGAGGTTGGGGTGAGGGCGGAGAAAGCAGGTAAAAGAGCAGAAGGGAGAGGAGGTCGGAGCCAGGCCCATGTGACAGAAACCTCCGCCTTTGTTCTCCCCCAGCCTTCCATCCAGCCTATGTCCCACACAGACCCACGCAGGCCTCCAGGGTTCCAGCGCTGCCCTGCAGCCCTTCTCCCAGCATGGGGGAACCACACGTGACTGACTCCCTCAGGGTCAATCAGCTCTTCCTCTACGTTTCTGAAAGAGCATCCTGCCTCAGCTTTGTGACAGGTTTCTTTCTGCTAGTGGTGTGGAAATTATACCTCTGGTTCTTCCAAATATTATTTACAGCTGTCTAATTTTTTCCCTCCACCCCAACGCTGCCAAACTAAAGTAGGTGGGGAGCCATTTTCCCTGACTGGGTCAATGAACACCCCCCTGTTCTCCACCCCCACTTTTTAAGATTCCACTATTGCTGCCAACTCAACCCATCTGCAGGAGAACACTTAGGAGAAAAGAGACTTTGAAAAGAAAAGCAAGCAGTTATTAGCTTCTCCACAGGAGAGGGAACATGGGACAGAGCTGGGACCCAAGTCATGTGTGCTGTTTGAACAGGATCTATGTTGTGTTTTTCTGCCTTTGCCTTGGTTACCCAACAACTAAGCCGTCTCCGGCCTTCTCCCCCTCAACCCTATCCCTCCTCCCTTCAGACGTCCTTATTCCTCAATCTGAAGTTTTCCTTAACATGATTTCTGAGAAGTACTTTGGAAAAAGTGTTATAGATTCTCTGCCAGTTCCTTAGTCACGAAAACCAAACCTAAAAGACTGTCTGTCTAAGGACACCTGCTCTGAGAGTGTTACCCGCGCTCCGCTGCTACCACCCTGATCGCACAAACACATGGTGCTAGGAGCTGGGAGCTGGGGGAAGGCGCGGGGGTGCCTCTCCTGCTCTAAGCCCTATCGTGACGACCCTCCATGTTTCATTCTGCTGCCTTCCCACTAGTTCGGCCTTCTCTATGTTCACCGTTTATTAATTTATTCCATAAAGATTAATTGAACTCCTACTCTCAGACAGACACTGTGTTAGGTGCTTGGGATATAATCAGGAACGAAACAGTTAAGGGCTCTACCTTCAGAGAATTTGCAACTTAGAATACCAACAAAACCTGCAATGCAGTATCTGGGGTTCTTTTATTCCAGCAAAAGCCTCTGAGAATTTGGTGTTAGGAGAAAGGTGTTTACGTAGAAGCAAAAGAAAAAAGAAGTGGGGAGCATTTGCCAGATTTAACTTTAATTTATGAGAATGACTTAAACATTTTCATCTCCGGGAAAATGAAATATCACTAACTATTCATTACAGACAACAGGCAAGGTCTTACCAGTCCGGTACGTATGAGTCTTTCAGGAAGAAAAACATAGTTCTACCAGGCCTGGGTAGAACAGAGGGAGAACTTGAGTTTAAGTACACTTGGGTCTGGAAATAAATAGTTCTTGTGGCTAATAAGCTCTCTATGGGCCTTAAAAACAAAACAAAACAAATAAACAAAAAAGATTTGCTTTTGAAAATCCAGAGTCCTTGCCTTGGGAAGGGACTGGAGTAAAATAAAAGTAAATGAGGTCTCTTTGAAACTCATCAGCTCCACACCTCCTGTTGCTAGAAGCTGGTTACAAGGCAGTCCGGTTGGGATTTCTGTGCAAATTCTACGAGTCAAGAACTAACTTGCGTCCCTCACTCCCAGAGGCCTTAAGAGCTAGGTGTGTCTCAGAGAAGTTATCTCCTGATTTGGGGGGAAGGGTAGGGAGGGAGGTCACTGAGGAAGTTTCTGGAGAAAGTTGTAAATGACTTTTCTTCTTAGCGAGGAGAAAAGGGATGGGCATGCGGGGTGGGTGGGGAGAAGTGTGGAGAGATGAGAGTTCCTTTAAAGCAACTTTGGCAAACCTGCTCCTAGTTTAATCTGATGTCCAAATAAAGAACTTTGCCTGTATTTCTAGGTATGGACGAAGAGAAAGAGAAGCCTAAATTGGAATGAGCTCTAAGTCTAAACGGAAGAGCAGGATGTAGCCACCAATGAAGACTCATCCCCCCACCCCCACCCCGGGCATTGGTAATGCAGGAGAGGAAGCTTCAAAGAAACCAGTGGAATCCGCCTTCACCTCCCTGCCCCAGAGAGGGAACACCTTTTATGCAGAAATATATATGTAAGAATAAAATACAGATATTTCCAAAATAACTTGCCCTCAGTTGTGTTTTAAAGAATTCTTTCCAAATTCATTATTGATAATAACATCTTTTTTCTTTTTTTTACTTCTTCTAATTTTTAAAACTAAAATTGGTCAGTGGATTTTAATTTTTGCAATTGTAATTCCATTTAATCAAGGAAGAATAGAATCCTATTGTGTTTCTTGTTGAGAAATATGTGAAAGTCAAAGGAGCAGATGTGAGCATAGCATTCATGTATTTATTTAGTCCTCGAAGCAGGCTGAAGAATGTAAGCATAAGCCTGGAGGAAACGAGATGGATGTTCCCTATTGCGATAATGTCACAGTTGTCTCAAACAAGGCAATATTAGTAATAATTGCATTGATTTAGTTAAAACCCTGAGTGTATTTGGATCTCATGATTTAATTTTGTGAAATATTTCCTAGATGCAAACTATAACTTTAATAAAGAGCAAGCAACCCCTAGCCTAATGCCTGCATGGTGCATCTCAAACCCCTAACAACACTGGTGTTTCCTTTCTTATTTTTTTTCTATTACCTGTTGAAAATGGGTTTACTGAGCCTGGTTCTTGCAATTTTTTTATTTTAAAAATATGTATCTTTTTGATAAATCCAAAAAGAATAATTTTGTTGAAAAAAAAAAGCTAACTTACAAAGTCTTTGACCATAATGATTTTTAAATAATACTAATGCCGAATAGGTAGTAGAAAACACGTTAAAAATAAATCTTAGAGAAGTATAAGGAAGGAGCGAATAAAAATAAAAGCAGAAATTAAGGCAGCAAGAAAAGAAATAGCAGAATTGATAAATAAATTGATTAATAAATGCAGTATCTCATCTATACAAATAGCATTAAAATATGAAACTACTGATATATTAACTGAAAAGAGAGAAACACAAACCACTTGGCAATACAAGCACAGATGTAAACAAATGTTCAATTATAAAAATATGTCATAGCTCTATGACAACAAATTCTTAGAAGCCAATGAAATTCAGGAAAATGGATTCAATAAAAATTAGAAAGCTGTAATAGACTGATATTCGTGGAAGCCATTTTTTTTAACATCTTTACTGGAGGATGATTGCTTTACAATGGTGTGTTAGTTTCTGCTTTATAACAAAGTGAATCAGCTATACATAAACATATATCCTCATGTCTCCTCCCGCTTGCATCTCTCTCCCACCCTCCCAATCCGACCCCTCTAGGTGGTCACAAAGCTCCGAGCTGATCTCCCTGTGGAAAGCCATTTTTTTTAATGTTCAATTAACTGTCTCCAAAAAAGGAGTTGGGTCCAGAGTATTTTATGAGCAAGTTCTTGAAAACTTTCAAGTAACAATTCTCATGTTTATTCAACTGTTTCAAGATTACAGAATGATGAAACACTTCCCAAATTATTTTTCAAAGTTAATAAAACCCTCAAAACAAAGGCAACATGCAAAAAAAACCTTTTTTACTTGTTTTAGCTAAAATATCAGCAACATAAACCCAACACTATAGAAATCATTTTTCAAAAGTAAGGTTTATTCTAAAAATTCAAGGCTGGCTTAATATTAGGATTTTTGTTAAAAACATTGTCTCAATAGTTCACAAAGAAAAAATCATATGATTCTCTTCACAGTTGCTCTAAGGCATTTGAGAAATTTTAACATTTATTTTTGATAATACCATTAGTAATATAAAAATATCTCATATCATGAGAAGAAATAGTCATCTCAAATACCAAAGGCATTCCCTTTTAAGGTCAGAAACCAGATAAAGATGTCCATGACAGTGTTACTGTTATTTTTCTGGGATGTTTGTGTGTTACATCTAGCATCAAATAAGTTATATTTTGACCTGAAGTGAGAAAGGTCTATGTTTAAAAAAAAAGTTTTATGTAACTATAGAATTGATATTATTAACAGAAAATTAAATGTTGTTTTAAAAAAAAAGGGCAGGAAAGAAGAAAAAACACCATTTAAAAGGAAATTATTTCTCCAATTGACTCTCAGAATGAAGAAACCTCAAGGAATGGAATATTTTTAAAGACTTTCTGGGACAGTTCATCTGGAGCCCTGTTACTACCCCTCTTCTTTAGCAAATAACACTTTCCTACTTTTTGCCACCAAACCAACACCTAAAGGAGTTGACACCTGTGGGGCTTTAGACCTAAGGCTGATTCAACTCACTTATATTGCAGCACATTGGATTTATACATCACTGCTAGGTTTGAAATAAGATTATACGATCAGATTTGGGGTTTAGTTTGGTTTTCCCATGGTGGGTCATCTTTGCTTTGGGAACTCCAGGCCCTGAACTCTGGCCACACTTCTGGCAGGACACCCAGGGCTGTCTCGCCAGGGACAGGGAATGTGCTCAGACATGCCCACCCAGCCCATGTGCTGCCAATGCACCCACTGACCCTTCACAGAAACTCCAGGCTTGTCCTGGAGCAGAATCCATAAGGATGACTCTACTACTTGCTCTATAATCACCGAGTGGTGAGAAAAAAATGACCTGTGGTTTCTCCCTCTGGCTTGGAACCTCTGGCTTAACCCCACCAGTGCTCAAAAGGATGTTCACGCTTTACCCTTTTCTCTACGGGCAAGTGTAAAGACAGCTCCATCATCCACTTTCTTGAGGAGGGGAGAGGAGGAGGAATGTGCTTCTAGCTCCACTTCTGGAACAAGAAGTAATAATTAACTAATGCAAATTAACAGGCAAGCGTTTAACAAGAAATTGTACCAAAGGTGCAGAACAATGAAAAGCTTCTCAAATTATTTTTCAGACTTAATATACCCGTCAAAATAAAACCAAAATTTTGCTTATCATAGATAAAATACCAGCAACCGAAATCTAATACTATAATGAAATGACAATTTTTCATGACCAAATGATGTATATTTTTCTCCTGAGGGACTTTTTAAAAAGACAAATAAAAATGGAAAAATATCCTAAATTCTGGAAAAGAAGACTCCATTCTTAAAGAGGTTATTTCTTCCTCCAAATAATTTATAAGTACTATATAACTCCATTCTAAAATTGCTAAAGTTTTTTTTCTTCATTTAACAGAAGAAATAGGTAAAAACAACTGAAAAATCTTGAAAATGACACATAATTCAAGCATACTTGTGCTGTTAAAACATATTATAAAAATGCAATAACTAAAATAGTGTGGTATGGCTCAAGAATAGAGAGAAAAATCAATAAAATAGAAAGCAAACCCAGAAACAGGTCCTAGAATATATATACATTTATACATGCTAATAATACACATGCTAATAAAGATAGCATTTCAAATCAGCAATGGCATACTAAATGATTGAAAGGTGCTACAACAAATGAATAACTATTTGGTAAAGAAAGAAAAAGCTAGATTCCTCCCTTACACACACACACACACACACACACACACACACACACACACAAAACGCACACACATAAAATTTCAGATTAAATAATGAAATGTAAAAAAAAGTATAAAAAATATAAGAAAATATAGATGAACATCTGGTCCTATAATAGAGATATGGGAAAAGTATGTATATATTATATATAATATGTATAGTTTATGTATAATATAGGTATTAGGAAATTGACTATTATATATAATATATATGAGGAAATTGAATATAATGTATATTAAGAAATTGAATCTTCAGGTCTTGTGGCTGCTATACTGTAGGGTAATTGAGAGAATACCATCTAAGATGCGATCAAGATAATGAGAGCACCATTTCCTTAAATAATAAACCTGGAGGAGAATTAGCCTGGGATGGGTTTGATAATGAACTTGACTTTGGATTTTTCTGTATGTAGGTCAGGTGCCAATTCAGTGAAATTGTAGGGACAGAATCTGGATTCCAGAGAATTGAGGAGTCATTGACATTAGTGGATGGTAAAGAAGTAGAGCTAGCAATTACAGAATGCCTTTTTTTTTTTTTTTGACCACACCCCGAGGCATGCAGGATCTTAGTTCCATGACCAGGGATTGAATCTATGCCCCCTGTGGTGGAAGTGCAGAGTCCAAACCACTGGGCCACCAGGGAATCCCACAGAATGCCATTTTGAAAGCAGACCTGTAGAACACAGTCTGCGAGGGGAATGTGAATCAATTGTGGATATTCCTGGTTTGTGACTATTCTGGGTTAGCCTTAGGAGGAAACACCTCTCCCACTGTCACAGGAAAGAGGAAAGAGACAAAAGTCCTTGGAAGTGAGTTTGCAGGACAAGGGGAAAAGTTCATGGACTTCTTTTTGGTGGCTTTGATGGCTGCAATTTTTTCCTCAAAGAATTGTCTGAAGAGAGTGAGAGAACAGAGAATGGGGTTGGAGTCTATAACATACCCCAAAAGAGTGGCCTAGACTATGAAAATATAGAAAGCTGTCAAGTCCACACTGAGGGCCCTCAAAGATCATGAATTTACCTTGGTGATAACAAGGACCATTTGGGGGTTTCCTCCAAGAGACTTCAACAAACCAGGCATCATAAAGAAGTTGAAAGTAGGTGCCACAAAAGAACAAGCAGGTGTGAGCCAAAGGCATTGGCAAGGTTGGTTGGAAGGATGAAACATGGGGTCTAGAAGGAACTGAGGAGGAAAGACAGAGGACCAACATTGGGACACAGTAAAATGGTCCAGAGATTGGCAGTCTCAATAAGGTTGCAGACAGGGAAATGAGGGCAACAGACAGGTAGAAAGTCATGATCATAACTGTTATTGGAATTTAATGTTTTACGGGTGCACAAGATCATATGATTTTTTGCTTTTTTAGTTAATTTGACATGGTAGTAACATCCCCCAAAGTAACATCCTCTAATCACCAGAGCCTTTGAATATCTTACCTTTCATGGCAAAAGGGACTTTGACATAGAATTGAGGTAAAGGTTTTGAGATGTGACGGTTACCCTGGATTATCTGGTGTATCCAGCATAATTAAAAAGGTCCCTGTAAGAGGGAGCAGGAGACTCACAGTGATTGCAAGACATGTGACCATGGTAACAGAAGCTGGAGTGGTGCAAGGAAGAGGCCACAAGCCAAAGACTGCAGGTAGCCTCTAGAGGCTCAAAAAGGCAAGGAAACAGACATCTCCCCCGGAGCCTCAATACTGCCCTTATTAGCACCTTGACTTTAGGACTTCTGACCTCCAGAACTGTTAGGTAATAAATTTGAGTTGTAAGCCACTAAGTTTTGATACTTTTTTACAGCGGCAATAAGAAACATATGTTATCATGAAGCATT